AATGATTTCCCCATTATGATGGAATTGAAATCCCGACAGCTCCATCCAAGGGAACTTTCTTATGACAGAAATGTTCTAAGTCAACACCATTAAACATGGTGGCCACTGGCCACAGGTGCCATTGAACATTTGGAATGTGGCTAGTATGACTCAGGAAATTAACTTATTATTTCATAGACTTTTCATTAACTTAGTCCAGTTTGAATGGCAATGTGTGGCTAGTGGTTACTTAGAATTTTGTACGAGATGGTGGTGTAGCCTGATGAGAGAGAAAGGTGTTGAATGCTCCTCTGCAGAGGAATTGTGACCAACTGAACCACACACTGGTTCTGTCTGGGTGCTATGAGGGAAAGGGTTAAAACACATTCTCTAGAAGTCACACACACACATACACAAACGACAATAGAGAAGATAGGCAGTCGGCCTATGCTGCCCGTATACACCAGCTCCCTGGGTCCCTACAATAGCTCTTGGCATCCTTTTACCATCTCATCTTACTGAGCAGCTTTGTAAATCACACATAGTGTCCTGCCTGTACCTCTCAGCTGCCAGGAAAGATGCCAGGAGTAGGGCAGGTGAATCAGAAAAAACAGTTCTAGATTCACTAATTAAAATCTCCTGTGATGGAAAGCATGCTTTAGAAGGATTGCACAAGCTAGATTCCTTTGTTACTTTGTTAATTCCCTTACACAGAAAACCAAAAGAGTAGTCAGGTGCCCTTTGCTTGTAGAACCTGCCTAGAAAAGCTCAGTGTGATGCAGCCTGAGGTTCCCCAGTGGAGCAATGGGTGGCTGAGTTTCTTGACCACCTCCACATCCAAAGGAACGTAATCATGGCAGAACAACATCACAAATGCAGACATTTGAAAGCCATACATTTTGATAACTAATAAAAGTGGATAAAATTTTGCTACTTAATGCATAAAATGAATATATGTCCAATATTGATGCATACTGATTAAAGAAAGGACAAAAATCTTCCAGAAATATGAAAGTTCAACTGCAATGTGTATTAAAGTACATTTTCCTCATATGAATTTTTAAGTGTGATAAACGTGAATTGAGCAGTTGACTAATAATAGTTTTGACCCTTCCTGAAATTTGAAGTACATTTCAAGGTATTTTTATTTTCCTCTTAATTTCTTTGTAACCAGCAAAAGCATGCGTAATTATTCCATTATTTGCTCCATCCATCTGGATGTCAAGTTCACAGCAATAGGAGACCAGTGAGGTGCAATTGTGAGGACAACACAAAGTGAGTTGACACAAAGTCTATATCAGGAGGTCTTCAACACACAGATTGGCAAGATTTTAGCAGAATTATTTAATAACTGAAACCTACAAACAGATGCTGTGATTTTCTTCCATATTTTGTTCTTTTTCTTTTCTTAACATAGTTCCTTAATTCCGACTTAAATAGTAATATGTTCCATATTATTCTTTCTTGGTGGTTTTGAAAATTAATTGTGATGTTTATCTTTTTAGAAATAGTATATGTTCATTATAGAAAATAACAAGAGCCACACAATTCCAACCACCCTGAGTGGACTGTTAGAAATATTTTAGCATATCTGTTTTCAGTTATTTTTGTTTTCTGACTGTGATTACACAATGTTGAATTTTTGTTATCCTGCTTTTTCCCCAATTAATCCCTCCTGAAAAATTTCCCGTATTTTAAGATTGTATTTCCAAAACATCATTGTAATGACTGTAGAGCAGTTCGTCCATTGTATAAGTCACCTAAATTTGTTTGACTAGACCCCTTGAGAGGGAAATTTAGATTATTTCCTTTTTTCTCCTTTTCTTTTTTCCAATTTAAATTGCATTGTGATGTAAATTCTTGTATTTGAAGTGTTTGTCCACATGCATTGCTGTTGTCTTAGGTGGAAAATTTCCCCATCAAAAGAATAAGAGCCTTCCTTTGGGCTGTTCATAAATTGCCATAATGTTCTCAGAAAATTCTAATGTGGTTGCTATGAATGTGGGTTTTGAAATGAGCAAAACTTGAGTTCCCAGTTTTGCAGAGCTGAACCTGTCCTCAGCCATGTGACCTGGAGCAGGTTTCTTGACATCGCCACACTTCATGCTTCACTCTCCCTCTTTGTATAGTGGAGGTTGTAACAGTGTCTGCCACATCCTCATTGCCGTGTAGGGTCAAGGAGCCAATCTACATAAAATTCTTAGCATGTCAACAGGCTCAAGAGTGGGCAGTGTTATATTTCTGACGGTAGAGTATGTGTATATCTGCTTCTCCATTTCTCACCAACCCTGGGCACAATTTTGTATAAAAATAACCAACTTGATAAGTGAAAGACAGTATCTTAGAATTTTTAACTTCTGTGACAAAACATGTCTTTCAAGCCTTTAAAAATATGTAAAGTCTTTCAAGTAAAGGACTGTTTATGACAAATGTTGTTCTCTTAGATGTTGTTTCTCAGGAGTATCAAGTCATATAAAAAGCTCTTTCTTAGTTTTAATGTGTAGGCATATTATTAATTTGGTCAGTTTGTGAGGTAGAGCATATTTATGCACATTTAATAAATGTGTGCTTACAACATTTTCTCTCAACAGTCTCAATGAATTAGATTTAGCTGTCCATCATTCATTTTAAATTGAAGAGGTAGTTTCATGAGGCAATCAGGAGAAATGAAGAAAAAACAGGGGAAACATTCACTAGCAAACCTTTCACTCAAATAAATTTTATTTGCTTATTGTCCATGAAATTTTTACAGAATCACAGTAGATATTCTTTCCAATTATGGAACTTACTTCTTCATATTAAAACCAGCCCTTTTCCATATAACTACATTGTTTTACCAGGCCCATGAGATGCCATTCCATCCATGTTACGTAAGTGGGAGCTGTGTACACAGGAAAGAGACCCACACCCAGAGGCCAGGAAAAAGGGTGAGAGTGGGGCAAAAGGTTACTGAGAAGTGAAGTATGAATAGGGCTAGAGGATAGAAACTGGTGTGGCCAAAAAATGCTGTTGTGATGTCTGAGCATGAAAATGATGGGTGTGGGTCATTCTGAAATGAAAATTTAAACAACAAAGGAGATGGTGTTGACAAGGGTTTATGCAAAGATATTGAGAAGCTGTTTTAAGGACAAGGTTGATTTGACTTTTCTTGGGAAGTCCAGAGGCTCCACCTAATGTAGAGATAGCACTGTATGTTCAGTGCCTGGATACACTTTCTAGTACATTGATTTCTGTAATGAGCTGGGGAGGAAGTATTAAGAAATACAGTCTTGAGTATTGCAGAGAAGAGAGAGGTCAGTTCTTCTGTGTCTTTTTTGCTATTATTGTATTTTAAGTAATGCTCATCAGTCAGTGAAATGGAATAGGCTCTTTAGGTTTTAGCTCTGGTCCTCTTTTGTTTAGTTTTTATTTCCCAAATCTGTGCCCTTGAGTGTTGGGCTGTAATTCCCTTGTGGGTACACTGTGAGACTATTAATCCTTGAATGTGGTTTCTACTGTTTAATTGTGGTTCAGAGCAGGTGAACCAACTAATACCTAGGGCTAAGTGACCACTCTTTGCAGTCAGGTGGACCACATGTCCCACACTAACAGAAAATATTGATTATGTTGATATTGAATGGCCAAGTCCTGATCATGACAACTTTTCAGGATCATCTGTGCTACTTATAATCTTGAATATTATTTTTTCTGTGTTCAACCTTGAAATTGATTTTGTGAGGAAAGGAATTTGCTAAACAAAGGCTTAAAAAATAGGACTGGAACTGGTGGTTCACAACTGTAATCCCAGTTACTTAGGAAACAGAGATAAGAGGATCTGGTTAGAGGACAGTCTGGATAAAGTTAGTGTGAGACCCTATCTGAAAAGCAAACTAAAGAAACACAAGGGTTGAGGATGTGGCTCAAGTGGTAGAGTGCTTGCCTAGCAAGCACAAGGCCCTAAGTGCAATCCTTGGTACCACACAAAATAAAAAAAAATTAATAAAAAATAAGGGTGACTTAATTGCATTAACATGGGGGCCTCTTGCATAAATGTCAACTCGAAATTGTTAGGCACTTATTTGTCCCAAGATGAGGCTCATTATAGTATGGTATAATAATAATTAAAGAGCACTAGTCTCAAAGTTAGGAAATATAATTTGATTTGCTGTTTTGTCACAAGTGTGACTTTGGGCCCATCTATTCACTTGTAAAATGATACCTTCATTTATAAAACAAGAATTATAGTGTGCCTCATTTATGATTCATTGAGAGCCTGCATGGGAAAGCTTTTTGAAAGGTGTAATGTTATATACCAGTGTAAGTCATTATTATGTCTTTGCAGTCAGCAGGTTTGAAAATTTGTTAGTTTGCATTTAAATACATTCCAGTTCAATTTGTGTCTTGGACCATCTTTTCTATATTTAAGCTATTGAGGTCTTTATTCAATCCTCTTTATTTCTCAGTCTAATTAGGTGCCTTAAGTGTTTACTTTATTGGATATTTGTTACTTTACATTTAAAGGATGAAGGTGCAGTGTTCTTTTAAAATACTAAGATTCTAAGATATTGCAAAAATGAATGCTAATTGTACATCTTCAGAAAGCTATGAGATTTTATGCTTTCACCAAGTTGGTCATTATTTTTGGTTATATTACAGTGGATCCTGTCATTCTTATAATTCAGACTCAATAAGCTCAGTTCCTCAGTTGCAATAGCCACATGCAAGTGCTCAATAGCCAAATATGGACCATGCTACTGTTTGGACAGTGGCGCATAGAGAACCTTTCTGTCTTTGCAACATAGTCTTTTGGATAGTCCTGCTCTAAAAGAAATGAAACTTAATATCAATTGCTCAGAGGTATCCAGCACTAAGGTTGCATATAGAATTTTACACCATTTTTTAGGTTTCCAACCTAAAATAACAAACCCTGATTAATCAGGGTTTCCCATCTACTCACCTAGCACTTTTGGACAACTTTCAGGTAGCTGTTGATTTTTTTCTGATATTTTAAAATATTCTTTTCTCTCTTTTGGATCCCGTAGGTCCTGTGTGACAGACATGTGTCAGTGTCCAGTCCATAAAAACTGTTACTGTGAGTCATTTCTGGCATATACCAGAGCCTGCCAGAGAGAAGGCATCAAAGTCCACTGGGAGCCGCAGCAGAACTGTGCAGGTAAGAAGGCCCTGCAGGATCTGTCCATCAGAAGTTCACTACCAGACCCACGATGGCAATGTGGGAGATTTGCACGTGATGACGTGAAGGGCATATCCCCCTTGGTCAAAGGGAAATCCTATCGATGGTCCAACTGGACTGCAACTTGATAAAGTTACAGGGCCTTCCCACAAAGCAGGGCAGACAGCACTTAAGAGAAAGCTTTATGACAAGCATGTTTTAACAATTTAAGGATTTCCACTGTTGCAAAATCCTCGCAACCTCAAGCTCCCAGCTGGATGTACTTAGCACATGAACAGTCATAATTGTGGCTTGGGTTATGTGTGGAGCAAAGGAGACTCAAGACTATTCCAGTCATTTAAGGTCTTAAGGATAAAGATTGTGATTTATTTTTAAAAAATTGTTATACAAACTCCAGCAGAATGTTTCTTTCTCCCTGGGAGATAGAGTTCTTCAATAGTGCTTAATAACTCTTTGTCCTCAGGCACATTAACTAGCTTATTTGATATCTGTAAAATGTATGCATTTGTTCATCCAAGAAATACTTATTATGAAGTGGCCAAGTACTATGCATTATTTTAGGAACTGTGGGAACTTTTTTTTTTTCATTTTTCTTTTATTATACATATGTGCATACAAGGCTTGGTTCATTTCTCCCCCCTGCCCCCACCCCCTCCCTTACCACCCACTCCGCCCCCTCCTTCTCCTCCCCCTCAATACCCAGCAGAAATTATTTTGCCCTTATTTCTAATTTTGTTGTAGAGAAGTATAAGCAATAATAGGAAGGAACAAGGGTTTTTGCTGGTTGAGATAAGGATAGCTATACAGGGCATTGACTCACATTGATTTCCTGTGCGTGGGTGTTACCTTCTAGGTTAATTCTTTTTGATCTAACCTTTTCTCTAGTACCTGTTCCCCTTTTCCTATTGGTCTCAGTTGCTTTAAGGTATCTGCTTTAGTTTCTCTGCATTAAGGGCAACAAATGCTAGCTAGTTTTTTAGGTGTCTTACCTATCCTCACCCCTCCCTTGTGTGCTCTCGCTTTTATCATGTGCTCATAGTCCAATCCCCTTTTTGTGCCTGCCCTTGATCTAATGTCTGTGGGAACTTTGATGACCATAAGTGATCGCTGTCATCGAGGTAGTGGCCATCTTGTGGGAGAACCAGACAACAACAGTAACTCTGTAATAAACACTTGCAAATTATGATAAGTATGAAAAGGAAACCAACAGAGTAGAGTTATAGAAAACAAGTGGAGAGGGGGTATTTGCTGCTTAGATAGGGTGAAGAGACGGCTTCCCAATAGAGGTGGAATTTCAGCATAGGATTGAAGAAAGTTGGGGAAAGCTGTCTATGTGGCCATAAAGTAGCAAAAATAAAAAAAAAATTAAAGAAAACAAAAAAACCCACCCAATTTCTTAAACTGGAAGGGGACCAGTATGGCTTGAGCCCAGTGGATAAGGGAAAGAGGGGCATAAATGAATGAAAGTGGGATGGGAGCAAAAACTGGATTGTGCAAGGATTTTCTGGTCTTGGAAAAGAGTCTAGCTTTCATTTTAAGAGAAGTAGAAATTACTGATGGGTTTTAAGCAAACCTCTTCACATTTTCTAATGATTACTATGTAGAGAACAGATTAGATGGAGACAAGGAGGCTATTATGGTAGTCCTGGTGGCTTGGATTAAGATAGTGGAAGGGCACATGGAAAGAAAGGGAGAAAGTCTCGATGTATTTTGGGATTTTAAAATAATATCTACTATGTCAGAGTACAGGCACTGGTGATATGTACATGAAGCATCTTGGAGGATGTCCAACTTCTATAAGGTGTCCAGTCAGCGGCAGCTGCTGCTGCTATGTAGATTTGAAAGTGAGATGACTGAATATTTGTTCCCTAGTTCAAGGATTGGTGAGCATTTCTGTGTAAAGGGCCAGATTTGCCTAGAATGAAAAGATTGGGGTTTTCAGAATTACAATGGCCTGATAACCTCAGTTCAGATCGTAGAAAAAGAAGGCAGTTCATGTCATTTCTAGCTCCAGTATGTCTCCATTGGAAAATAGAAGTAGCCATCTGGTTAAAAGAAAGGTCAAGCAGGCTGGCCTTGAAGCTGTTTACAGTTCATAGCCATTGTGTTACTTAGACCAGTAAGCCTCAACCTAGCTAGAATTGGAATCACCGCAGGCGTTTAAAAGCCATGCCAAAGGCCTAGGCCTGGGCCCTAGGCCCAGATATCCTGCTTCAATTGGCCTTACTTACCTTTAAAAACTTCCCAGATGACTCTGACCTGCAGCCAGAGTAGGAAGTACTGAGTCAGTTTGTATGTTTACCTAGGTGGTTTAGGGAGTAGGAAGATGGGTGTACGGGGTGATCTGAAGCCTGCTCAGCTTCCCTTTTGTTCAGTCACTAGTCTATGTCTTTGGAAAAGCATCACAGCTTTTCCTTTCCTTTGATAGGGCTTTCAGTTTTCTTTCACTTCTGCAAACCCAAGTATCTCTATTTCAGGGTTCACTTTCCACATCATGAGTACCACCCTGTCAGTGCTGTTTTTCTCAAAGCAATATTGATCTGCTAAAAATAACTCACATTAAAGTGTGCCTGAGGTGCTGAGAAGCAAGTGGCTGACTTCTAACCAAAGGCATTGGTGCTGGGTCACATGTATGAGGGTGATGTTTGTGAGGGCTGGGTTCTTTCAGCCTATCTTCTTGAATACTCCTAGCTCCCTTCCTTTATTCTGAGTCCTCCTTCCCTTGAATGTACCAGAAAATGAATAAAATTGATGGAGGCAAGCACCAATCTACCCATCCTGGTGTAATGGAGGACCCAGCAGAATTGTATTCATTTTCTTAGCTGTGGTGGTAGTTAGGATCCTACTAGATGTAGGATGTATGAATCTTCTCCTGACCCAGAGCTACACTTAGCACCATTTCAGCACACACACTGCATTTGAGGATACACATTTTACGTCAGCATCCTTATTTCAGGGACTGAGTCTCTAGAGCTAAATTGCTTTTCTAATGGAAAAGGAATATGATGCCTGAAAGGTTCCATTTACCTCAAAATTAGTGGAGCCAGCTGTGTGAAGTATAACTCCATCAATATGAAGTTGGAGGGGAATGCTTACACACACACACACACACACACTATGAACTTTCACAGATTGACACTTGGCACATGGAGATATAAATTTACAGAGCTTTGTAGCATTTCTCAGTAGATTTTTTTCAGATTCATCTAGAATATTGAAGATTGCAGGAATACTATTTACTTGCTTTTAGCTCCCAGGTTCTCTGACTTATGGCAGCACTTAAGGCTACTTATGGCAAAAAAAAGAAAAATTTTCCCAAGTAAAAAACTTGGAAGTTGAACAAGTAAGAAGCCAACCAGGCAAGAAAATGAATGAACAAGTGACATTTTCAAGACCAGCCTGGATTACTGTTAACAGGACATACCACTAACTATGTCAAGAAGGGCTAATGGAACTCTAATTCAACCTGGGAATTACTAACTAAAATATACGTTAAGGGCTGTGGTGACGGTACATAAAAGTTTAATAATATTTTATTTATTATTTATTATTTTTCTAAGTGTCCTCTTTCCTACGGTGACTATACTAAGATTTTATATTGTAGTTTATCTTATCTCATATACCAAATAGCTCATAGAATAGCATTATAGCACCCCCATTTTACTGATAAAGACACTGAGACTTAGAATAGTTAAGTAATTTGCTAAAAGCCAAAGAACTAGAAAGCAGGGAAGCTAGGAGTCCAGCCTAGGTCAGTTTGCATCGTAGCTTCTATTTTTAGTAATTATGAGAACATAGAAGAGACAAAACATTATAGAAAAAAATATGAATGTATTTATTTATGGATTTATATAGCATCAACTGATTCATTCAAATATTTGGTATCTAAGGTTTTATCAACCTTAGTAACTTTCCAATTTCTGTTCTTTTGTTCCTGGTAGGTGTTACTCTGTAACTTCTGGCTCTGTAAATTTGTTGTGCTCTTGTCTCCTGTATCTTACATTGCCTTCCTTAGCAGAATTTTTGCTGTCTTCCCACAGCTGACACTAATTGCCATTGTGCATTCAATAATACGCAATAGATGGAAAAGGTGCTGGGAGAGCAGGTTTTTGTGCACCATGGTTGATCTGCTGGGTTATGTGAGCAGCTTTCTCCTTCCTTGTTTGGCTCCATAGCCTTTAGATGATTCTAGCCTCTCCCTGCAGCAGCTCAGTCCTACTTATTGCATACTCTGAGCTTTTCCTTGGCTGACTGGATGCCTCCTGTAAAAATTGGGAAAGAAAGTCAGGTACTGTGACCATCAGTGCCCAGTGTGTGTGTGTGTGTGTGTGTGTGTGAGTGTTGCTGAGCGGGGAGGGGGTGGGGTGGGGGAAGGGAATATACAGGTATAGCTGAATTGAACATACTGATAAAATCAATACATGTTGTCTTTATGTGTCACTGTAGTTATTTGAATTTCCTTGAAGAATGCATTCATGGTAACCCTTACAGTTCAGTTCTAAAATCCCAAGTTTCCTAGTTAAGAAAAATTAACTTAACCAAATGAATCCTTTTAAAAGGCATGTGTGGAAACCAAATCACATTTTTGTTTTAAAAATTGTCTTTTGCCTTTTGTAAGTTTGAAAATCAATTGGATTCCTAGAGGGTAAAAGAGAGCTCAAATCAGGATTAACTTTCTAGGGTCATCTAAAATTTGTGCCAAAATTGAAGGCAAATCTAATGTCATTCCAAGGTTTCTCTTTGCCACATCTTGTAAGGTCATCTGTGCTCTCTGGACCCTGCCTACTGCTCTGTGTTTATCTCCCACCATTCTCCCTCCTTATATTCCATGCTTTTGCCTACTTGCCAAACCAAGGATGCCCCTTCCCTGATTCAGCCACCACACCCGCTATTACCCGCTTTCCCTCTGACTCTTGCAGCTCTCTCTGCATGGGAAGCTCTTCTTGCCATTGTCTGTCTCACAAGTTTCTCCTCACATT